TGACAGTAATCAGTGTTGAGTACTACTGTAAGGTTTACCCTGCCTGGTTTACATGTTTGAAAATGATTAACAGTTGAAAACATTAGAAATTTAGAAAAGTAATCAAAAAGTAATCAAAAGTAATCAGTTGCATTACTTTAATAAAGTAATTGAAAAAGTTACACTACTATTACATTTTAAGTAGGGTAACTTGTAATCTGTAACCTATTACATTTCCAAAGTAACCTTCCCAACACTGTATATATATATATGTGTGTGTATGGCGGTAATACCGCATACCGCGCTATTGAGCCACTCAAAATTACCGCAAGGGAAATTCCCTCACCGCAACAGCCCTATGTGTAAGCTAATAATCCTTAGCAAAGCTACAAAGGCTGCTGGGAAACCAGTGTTTGCGTTTTTGAAATGGACAAATATTGATTAATCTGGGTGAGAAAAGCAGCCATGTGAAAATCTAAATAGTATATTAATTGTATTATTATTTTAATTATTAGAAATATGTTGCTATTGTACTGTAAAAAAACATTTAATAATGCCCTATGTGTAAGCTAATAATCCTTAGCAAAGCTACAAAGGCTGCTGGGAAACCAGTGTTTGCGTTTTTGAAATGGACAAATATTGATTAATCTGGGTGAGAAAAGCAGCCATGTGAAAATCTAAATAGTATATTAATTGTATTATTATTTTAATTATTAGAAATATGTTGCTATTGTACTGTAAAAAAACAAGCATTTAATAATTTAATGTTGTTATTATTATTTAAATATTAAATATTAAACTGAAATATTACTATTGCGATAAGACTATTGTACTATAAAAAAGAGAAGTATTTAATAATAATAATATCTTAATTTGATAATTTGTATAAAAATTAAATAAAGAAATATTACTGTTACAATAATACTATGGTACTGTAAAAAGCAAGTATTTAATAATGATAATAATAATAAAAGTTATTTTAATGGTAGTATTATTTAAATTATGGAAATTAATCAAATAAATTAGTTGCAATAATAGTATTGTACTGAAAACAAGTATTTAGTTATTATTATTGTCATTATTGTCATGAGAACAAAAGTAAAATTACAATATTGATATTTATGGTAGGGCTGCATGATTATGACAAAAATCATAATTGTCGATTATTCTCTTGAAATTGTAATTGCGATCCTTACGATTATCACAATTTACATTGAATGATGTTTAATACCATTGTTTAATGCAACTGCATGCCTTATTTTCATATGAAAATAAACAAGCTGAAAACACTCTAACTGAAAAACTTTTAGTGCTTTTCTATAGTATTAAGCTTCAAATGTCAAATATACATCGGATTGGTTTGTTCTTTAAATTATAAAAAAAAATATATATATGAATGGTATTATAATGTTATACTAAAATTAAAATAATGGGAAAACCCCTTAAGATAACATGTAGAAAGAAAAAAATGCATCTTAAGCACGCAGAATAACATAAGTGGACTTTGAATGATTAATTGCCGCTTTGAACGATTACGTAATTGTGGCATCCATAATTGTAATCGCGATTAATTGTGCAGCACTAATTTATGGGATGCCCTTTGCTTTTGAATGTTCGAAATCTAAAATTCATGTGGGTCATACTTTTCACTTCAGAAAATATGAAAGTCCATATAAATACGTAAATTACATTGAAAAGTGGTCTGAATTGAAACTCATAGTGGAGGTGATATTGCGGTTGTGTCCACACACTAGCAGGCAGATCTGGGCAAAGACATGGCGCGTCTGGTGGCTGTCTGCAGAGACGGGGAAGAGGACTATCTGTTTCTTGCACGTCAGATTCCCTTGTACATCGATGACTCGCTCACGGTAAGATCATTTATTGATTGCACTTTGCATTTTACCATCTTTAAAGCCAACGTGAAATTAACATAAAACCTATTTACTTTAAAAAAAATATGGTCTTATTGTGTGTGTGTGTGATTGATCTGTCAATTTGGGTATTTTAGCAGCCAATACCATTAAACCGGTTAGAAGTTTGTCTTGGCAGGCACTTTTGTATTAAGCAGTTATGTTCCCCTATACATGCATTACTGAAAGCAAACTGATTTCACGGTATTATATAGGAAGAAGCACTGCGTTATTTTGATGATATATACACATTTTTATGTAGATGGTGATGGAGTTTCCTGACAGTATTCTGGACTTTGACAGCTGTCAGATGAACAGTTCACAAATGAAGCAGTTTATTGAGGTAAACTATGACATTTTCTCATTTTCACTGTTGGCAATGAATCTCATGAAACCTGTTAAGAGTCATATTTCACCTAAAAAGTATTTAATATTAAAGAGTTATTTAAATCTGTAACATAAAAAAATTACTATTCACGACAATTAATTAGAATACCCTCTAATTCTCATTACAGTTATGCAAAAAAAAAAAGCATTTTCCATACTCTACATTAACAGTGGTAGTATTTATTGTACTGCCTTTAATTTATGTTAATTTTAGTGCTGGGCAAGGATTAATCGCATCCAAAATAAAAGTTTGTGTACATAATATATGTGTGTGTACTGTATATATTTATTATGTATATATAAATACACACCCATGCATGTATATATTTAAGAAAAATGTTATGTTTATATATTAAATATATTTATATGTACTGTATGTGTGTGTCTTTATATATACACAATAAATATACACAGCACACACACATATATTATATAAACAAACTTTTATTTTGGATGCCCAGCAATAGTTAATTTTAATAAAAATACTATAATTAAGGTATGTCACGATCATGAATGTTGGGCTGTCAAATAATTGTCACAAATAATCGCTATTAAAAATGTAAAAATGTCATTGTTATTAATCTTTTAACTTATATATATATATATATATATA